AAAAGAAGAAAAGAAACAACTGAGTGATTAAAGAAAAATGTTCAACAGATGGGCCACAGCCTGCGCCAGATCTGCTGCTTGTCTTTGACTTTGTTGTGTTGTCATACACAGACATAGCATAGAGGGGCGGTGTGAAGAGAAAAATGGGCGATGGAGATGAGGAGATCATCGCACACAGGGAGTTCATGTCGAGCCAAACAGTCAGGGAGAAGGGCTATAGAGGAAGTTCTTTCATGGTCTCTCTGAGCATGTGTGTGTTGTGGTATGTGCCTGTGTGTACCATGCAAATATGTCTACACTGCAAAATAATTATATATATATATATATATAATTTCAGCTTTGACACATGGATGGATGAGTGAATTTTTTTTTTTTTTTTAATTTAGGAAACAAAATCTTCTGTTTTATTATGTTGTTCTGTAAATGCATTGTCTTGTTCTTGGCTTCTTTCGCAAGTGACTTTGCACCATTTAGATCTGTGTTTCCCAAACTTTTTTTGGGGGACCCTTATTTTAAAAGTCACAAACCTTCGTGACCCAAGTCAATAGACATTATTTGTAAACTCCTGGGAAACATGATGTGAGACAACCCAAAAAACAGTCTTTGGGAAACAATGATTTAGATGGCAGAAAAACTGTTCAGTTGGTGGTAATAATAGATACTGAAAATAAAGAGATAATAATTTGTTAGACTGCAGTTTTGATCACTTTCTTCACTGCTGTTGGAGGTGTACAGCGCAACAGAACGGTGAAAGCCAAGTTGAGTTTGATAGCCAGCCTTAGCTCCTCGTTCGTTGTTGTTTGCAATTTTAAAACATTTCATTTCTATATGCAGTTTTCAGAAGACTGCCATTTAGTCCGTTCGCTTGTTGTTTCTGAAACACCTAGTACTCTACAGGTTAAGTTTTCAGTGCAGATTGAAGAACATGTTCTGTAAAGGAAATGCTGCGCTACATCATTTCTGTTTCAGTTAACACCTCCAAGGCAGAAGCATCTTCCTCTCTGGGTTTTTATGGCAGCTGGCAGACTCTGAGTTGTTATCGTTGCCACCTAAATTTGTCTTTTTCCCACTAGTAAACTTGTCGACTTTACTGCTACGCGCTGGAGTTTTGCTACAAGTTCACCAAAAGGACACATAAAAATACAAACAATTAACACTAATTGGCTGTGGAATAGTAGAGAAAACCAGTATACCTGAAGAAAACCCACACAGATTCCACACAAACAGTCCCTCAGCCCCAGCCAGGACTCAAACCAGGGAAATTCTTGTGGTGAGCCAGCAGTGCTAACCACTATTCCACAGTGTGGCCTGATATTTATCCACCATTTACTTAAATTTAAATGGAATCTCTGGGCCAAATGGTGGCAAATGCTGTAAAAGTGAAGATGACCGGGTCAGGCCACAGTTTTTCTCTGTAGAGTTTGAACATGGAGTTGTCTCTGTGTACGTTCTTCTGTTGTGTGTGAGTTTTCTCCAGGTACAAAAACATGCAGAAATAAGGAGACTCTAAATTCACTAAGGGTGTAAATATGAGTGTGAATGGTTGTTTGTCTCTATATGTGTCCCTGTGATGGACAGCTTAAGTGTCCAGGGTGTACCCTCCAACGCCCTGTAAAACACACTTTTCAAACTCAAGGCCCGGGGGCCAAATGCAGCCCACTAAGCTGTTTTGTGTGGCCCGTGTGAGCGTAAAAAGCTTTTAGTGAAGTACATGCAGCAGAGTTTCTTAACCTGAGAAATAAGTTTTTTTTTATTACACAGCAATGAACAATATTTGTAGCTTGAATCAATAATAATCAATTGCAGAAACATGTATTAGTCTGTTAACGAGTAGTTACATCTATGGTCCTCAACCTTTTTTGTTCCAAGGACTGGTCAGCCAGTACCACCCCCAGTGAAAATGAGTTTGACAACTCTGGTGTAGAGGAATAACCTGTAGATAATAGCTTTATAGCTTTATTTTATTCAAACGTTACTTAAGAGTAAAGTGTGTTCCATATATATATGTTTTTTTAAACATCAAAAACATCTAATTATTTATATTCATCATGGAAATATTTTCTAAGGAATGATTAAAGTTGTCTAGCAAGGTATCTTAAAAAAGAAAAGGAAAAAAAGAAAAAAATAGAAATTGTCTGTGATGACAGTTTAACTGAGAAAATATGCAAATGTTTTGCCTGTAATGTGACTCAGTGAGTCTGTGCTGTGTTCATGCTGACTCATCACTTTCATTTATTTTACAAACTGGTTTTATCTGCCTGTCTTCTGTCTTCTGACTGAACAAAATGGCTTGAGGGATTTTACATTTCCACCACCAAATAACGGTCAGATATTGATTGAGGTTTTATTGTATTCTTGTACAACAATGTATGTGCATAACTGTGGTTGATATAATCACAGATTATAATAATCAGTCAGAGTACATGTTTTTACCTGTTACACTTCTTGTTTTTACAATAAATGTATCCTTTAACCACAAAAGTGGCGCTAACTACCCCACCCCTGAACCCCGTCCCACCCGTCCCCAGTAAAGTACAGTTTAAATGCACCATTGAAAATGTCTGCTCACTGCATAGGATCGGGACATAGCACTTGTCAGTGACATGTCTTAGATTTCTGAGGATCAGCTACTAAACCACGTGCTCTAAACTTTAATGACAAGGAATGATTTTTAATAGGGTCATATTTTACACATGAAGCGACTGTGTTTAAAGAAGGGATTGAAGAGCTCGATGACAAAGAGGTGAAAAGATTTTATCCACATGCTAATTATCTCCAAGATACTGAGTACACACTTGGAATCATGTTCAAAACTGTCACAGCCTATAAGTAATAAATTAAATTAAAATGACACAATGGTGATGTGGGTAATTCAGAGCAGTGTAAAAGGAAAAGTCATTTTAATGCTACAACTTTACTGTCTTTAACTGTCACCAGAGGCGTAATAACAATTTTTTTTTTTTTTTTTTGGATGGGAGAAACTTTTTAAAATGTATTGATGGCTTACTATACTGGTGAAGCTGTCTTTTAGATTAAATTATAAAATACATTTAGTAAAAATGAAATGTCAAAAACATGAAAATATAAAGGAAATAACTAGTGAAAAAGAAGTACACACTCTTGCTGAATAAGTGTTTTAAACTGTGACTGTTTTCGGTTGTCTTGCGGCACTGAGAAGACAGCAGTTAAATATTTATCTTTTCTAAATTGTTCAATTCAATTATATGATGTTCTTGTCTGAATTCTCAGTCAATAACCCAGCAGATGACTCATGTAAATTACAGTATTTGTATCATCAACCTGTAAATTAATATTTCACATAATACACATTTAAAGATTAAAAATATATATATATATAAAAAGCAATTGCATTGTTTTACTTTAAAACGTGTGTGCTGAGCACCAGTGCTTTAGAACTGACTGAAGCTGAGGGCGCCTCTGGTCATTATCTGCAGATAATTATGATCACTTTCAGAATCAACTAATTGCATTTATTTTCACAACGAGTTCTTTTTCTGATACCTAGGTTTTCTTTTCAACGCGTATTGCTTCTTTTCTGCAGCAGTTGTTTTTTTCTCGGAGGAAAAAAAAATGTGCATGAAATCCTCCGTTAGTTCAAAGTCTACTCTGCTGATCGCAGACAACATAATGTTCACACAGATATGGTGAAACAAGGGAGGAAGGAAACAAACTAAACCTGTAAGAAGGACTTTCCTTGTCTTTTTAGTGATAGTAAAACACTTAAAAAAGCCCCACACATACACCAAAAATTGTAACAATAAATTGAGGTGTTGAGTAAGGTGTCAGTCAGTAATGTAGACGGTTAGGTTTATATGTTATTTACTTTTTTTAAGCGCTAGTGTGAAGGAATTATTGAAATGTAAGATCGTGTTTCAGAATGAAACGTTTCTGGTGCTGGGAGGTCATGTTTGATTGGTCTTTTCTAGAGGTCATACCAGAACTCTGACCTCTAATTAGACCAAATTAAATTCAACCCTGACTTTAGCAGAGAGCAGCTGCACCTGTTTACACTTCACCTTGGGTCCATTGCACGTTTTGCCTTCGCTAACCTTGAGGACAGCTCCGTAACCCCTTACTCCTCCGTCCATGTTCCCCCTTCTCTTTTTCTGCCTAAATGAAAAAGCAAGTCCCCCACCCCTTCCATCTCGCTCTGTCGTTGGCTCTGCAGCACAGCATTCTTGGCCCATGATGTCACTACAATATGTGTGTGTGTGTGTGTGTGTGTTCTCGTCTGTTTCTCATCAGCGTTTCCCCGTCACCCACTCCTCCTTTTTCTTTCTTCTACCCATTCCTCTTTACCTCTCTTTTGTATTCCCTCTGTTCTGCTCTCCATTTCTCTGTTCTCGTGTCTCTGATTTTTTAACCTTATCCCCAGCGTAGTCCGCATGATGTTTCGCGCCCAATATTTTTACCTTTCTGCACACATCTGTGTTGGCGTTAAAATGACTAGGAAAATGCAATGTGTGCACACGACGCAGCGTTAGCTAAAACTGACATCAGACTATTGCACATCATTGTTCCAGTCCTGCTGAGAATTTTCTTTTTTTCAATGCAGGTGGAAAAACAACAAATGTAATATGTGACAACTGTACATGAAGGGACGTAAAGGTGATATTTTAGTTTTTAACCCACTGTGTTCTTTGCATTATTTATACAGAAAAAATGTGCACAGGTACAATTCAAGATTCATAAGTTCAGTCGTCATGTAGAACTTGTTGAAAGTTGCTTTCAAAACTTCACTGAATCTGTTGTCATCAACATCAAGTCTACAGTCCCCCACAGTCCAGTTGGTAATTGTGTCAGTCGTAAACTTATTTACTGCCCCACGCTCAGTGAGGCTGGTTTGACTCAGTCCCGGCGCCTGACCTGAACACATAGTGAGCGTCCAGACGGTATTTTAATGTCCAGATGCTTCATGAAAAAAAAAAAACCTTTTTCCACAATGTGTGCAAATAACATGTGTGTCCGGTGTCTGTTAGAGCAATGATGAGTGGACGGTGGAATCGTTGGCTCTACAGTGCACGTCATTCTGCCCATGCAATTAAACAAGGTAAAAATGTAATATGTGATTTACATGTCGTTATTTATTCTTTGTATTATTTTTGTCGTTACATCTTTGCCTTTTTAGCAAACATATTTTTGTCGTTACATCTTTGCCTTTTAACTTTTTATGTACTGTTATTAGCATGTTTTTAGCAAACAAACTATATACAAGTACACTGTTTCATTTAACAGAATTTGATACATTTTCCTTTGTTGTTTACGAGAATAAGCTGCTAATATTTTCAGTAAAACGATTGTGAAATTAGATAAAATATCTGACAAATTGAATGTTAAATTCAAATTTTTGTTCTGCAGTTTTTTTCTTAATTGACAACTATCTTGTGCAAATTTGTGTATTTTTTTATAACAACAATATTATATTATTAAGAGGCTGGAAGAAAAAGAATACTTTACCAGCATATATGCTTCAAGTATGAATTGTTTAAGTTAAGTTCAGCCAATCAGAGTAGCCCACTGGATAATGAAAATTATTCAGTGGTTCAAAGCCTTGGTCTCCAAGGAGATTGTTCCTCCATTGTTACACTTTGTAACTTATACAATTTTTGTGGTTGTGAAGGAGGCTAGAGCCGATCCAAGCAGTCATTTGAGTAAGAGTGTGTGGACTCTGGACACTTCACGAGCCCTCCACACACCTATTTACTGCGCCCAGTTACCCTAATGCCCAATCTGCATGTTTTTGTTAAAGTCTACCTTAAATCACACAGTTGGAGTGGCGTCAGGCTCAAACCTCTGACTTTTTTTTGCAGGTTCACCAACAACTACACCAACGTGTCCCGGGCCTATTGTCACTGCGGGGAAAAAGGCAAGTGGTTTCCTTTCACTGCTTATTTAACGAGAATGCTAATGTGTTTTGTCAGAATCTGGTTTGTTTTAAATATCACCACATGTATTCTGAAGTAAAGTCTGCTCCCACTGTTTTATTTGGTCTCAGCCCCTCTGTGTTCTGACTTTGTTTTCTTACCAACATATTACTTTTACACAATTAAACAGAGCTGGATTTCCATCCATTCATTCATCCATCATTGTCCGCTTATCCAGGGCCGGGTCGCAGATTTCTCACTATATTTTTTTAACTTTTATACAACTTACAGAATTGAAAATGTTTGTTTTTTTATTTATTATATGAATTTCCATATTTATATTTATTATAACAGAGAAACCTAGCCTTTGCCTTTGACTCAATGTTCAACTTTTAAAACAAACATTTTACCTTTATCTGCCGTAAGTATAATGTAGAAGCCAAAAGGTTTGTTTTCTTTTGAGCGTCATATTCTGAATTTGGACTAGAATATCACTTTACAAAATCGTACATTTCGTCTGGTCACAGCTGTTTGCAATCCATTTCTGTAGGTGACGGAGTTCATCAACTTGGAGCTCCAGGCCTGGCTCTATGAGAACACTCAGCGCTGATGTATGAGTCACCAGGAGAACACTGGGGGAAAAAGTCTTGTGTGTAAGTACTACTCTTGAAGGTGGAGGTCAAAGTCACTGTAGCGATCACTGCCTCTAGTTGGAGCTCTTAAACACGAGCGTTTGGTGATGATGAGACGTGCACTGCACAGGAAACTGAGAGCTTCTCCACACCGATGTTTAAAAACGTTTTTTTTTTTTTTTTTTTTTTTGCAACTGTAAACAAGTAAATGTCTCCAGACAATGATGTGCGTTCCTGTCCCCACCTGTCCTCCAAGTGCCCGCTCTCACTGAACTTCTCTCGTGTACTAGCAGAACCAGGCTCAGGGTTTACAAAGGTGACACTAAAATGTCCGACCTTGGTCATTGTGATGACTATTAGTGCTACTGTCACATTCTCCCATCAGCCTCAGTAGACAGCATCTCTTTCTCTTCTGCAGAAACTACAGGCTGAACCTCAGTGTACTCTGTCCTTCACCCTCTTCCCACTCGTTCTCCTAGAATGCATTTTCTTTTATTACCTCCCTCAGTTTCCCTTCATGCTTTTTTCCCTTTTCACCCCCAAACTTCTTTTTCTTGTACATTTCTTCACTTTCTCCTCTTTCACTGGTTCCTCCCCTGCTTTTGGCTGTCTCCCCATTTTCTCTCTGCCTCATTTCCCCTGTGCCTCTCCAACGGTTCTTTAGGTTCTTTCCTGCAAACGGTTTCTCTCATTCCTTTCCTGACTATTTCCATCTTACCTCTTTTTATGTTCTCTTCCCCCGTATACTGTACATGCATTATGACCGGCATCATCTAATGCCTCTGTTTTCTCTCCATCTCCCTCAGTATACACATTTGGCATATTTCAATTTGAAAATGATTTTTTTTTAAACATGAGGACATGCCCTGATACACTGTGACATTATAACGTCATATTTGGTCGTTTTGAATGGGATTTGCATGTGCCATCTATTAGTAGAATATATTCATGTATATTTTAAATTATAAGGTTGAGCCTTAGAGTAGAAAAACCAAAGAACTGTATGGAATAAGAACTCCATCACCCACTCACCTCAATGATCTTACTGGTTTTACCTGTCTGATGTGTAATCCAGCTGACGAGCTACACTTCTGTCGGGAACTGCTGTCTGCAAAATTCCCTCTGCCTTGAACCTGTTTTGTACATAGTTGGCCATAAACAAAAAAAATGTGCTTGATTGTCTGTGGATTTTTATTTGAATGAATAAGCTATGCACAGGGAAGCAGTCCTCATACTAATGCAAATTCAGTTTTGTACAACATTTATATTTTTTTTTTAAAAATTGCTCTTGCAAAAATATATCTCCTAAAAAGATCATAAGCATAAATAAGAGACAGACTAGTTGTAAATATGTTTTTCCATAAACATTCTTTGTGTTGAATTATCTATTTACTGGGGACTTCCCGCCATGAATATCTTTGGAAACTAATTATAGTAACTTTCTCTGTGCTGCTGTGGGTTGAAACAAAAGAGTAAAGAAGATTGCTTCAGGTCATTTTAATCCGTTGATAGAAAAGCAGTTTAAACTAAAGAGCATCAATTTCAGCTGAGTGAGGAAGAGAAGAGGTGAAGGTGTGACACCTAGTGTCCCTTTATCAAAGGTGCTGGATAGAAAACAGAATCAAGTAAGGTCTAGTTCCAAATGATTAAATATCCCATAATTGAAGAAATGTGAAATATAAAATAGATCTAAAAATGCTTTCATAAATCTAGACTGTTCTTAAGGTGTAAATCGTTGTTTCTATTGCAAAACAAAAGCTATTTCTTAGCAGGACTGGGTTTTTAATTTTTAATTGGCCCACAGAAAACACATCAAATACCCTTTTTTATTTTGATGATAACTTGAGGTTAATCTCTTTTATTCTATATACTTAGAAAATGTATTGCATTAAAAGCAAAACATTAACCTTTTTAAACCGAGATCTGTAAGAACATTCCCCCAAAAAACTCCATAAGCTGACCTGCTCATCAGTGGTTTCCAGTTTCAGAGAACAATATCTTATGTCGTGTGCATGTAAATGTAAAAAGAAACAAATTTAAGTAAAAACCAGTAATACACATTTGCTTTTGCTGCAGTTTAATTCATCAGATGAAACATAATTAGAAATGCTTATTACTATAAAACTTTAACAGTGTTAATATTACAATACAGATAAAGTAAAACCCTTGACAATAAATGTGGTAAACATCGCTCATTCATTTAAACACTACAGCAGTACTACAGTGTACACAACCATATCATCCGCAAACGACTCAAATAAATATGAGTAGTGAAGTGGAGGCTTAATATCGGAGTGTGTTTACAGATGTCAGCATTCTCTAATACAGTGATGTTAGACTCACTGTGTTACAGTACATTAGTCAGCTGTAAAGATCATCAGGTGTACCATATACATTTTCACTTACTTGGTCTGAAACTACTACTTGATTTATTTGTCTTCATTCATTATTGTGGCAGTGAGAGATAGAACAATTAAACACTCTTCTGCTAGGTGGCTAAAAAATTACAAGAAACTCAGACCTTTTGAAGATCTCTGCATGTGTCTTTCTTCCATTCCTGCCAGTGTACCATTGCTGTTATCAGCTAAATACAAAAGGCAGGGCATTAAACATCATTGTACTTATTATATTCAAGAGAATAAGAGATGAAAACAGGGTTGCCATTCAAGAGGTAGAAAACAAACATAAATTTTACACAAAACAGTAACAATATTTGACTTAAAGTCGATCTAGAAATATCTTTTCCATTATTGAATGAAGTGGCTGAGGTCCTCGTGTATCTCAGCTTCATCCCAGGGTCCTTGAATGTTGTCCTTTTGCCTTTGTAGTGTGATTAGAAGAAGTGGACAAAAAAATGTGACGTTTCCTAAGGCCAGGGCCAAAAGCACAGCTCCTACAAGCGACTGGGAGCCTAAGCCTCCAATTCCTCCTATACACATTCCCACACAGACCCCAGTGAATTGGCTGGGGGCCTTCTCCCTCAGCCTCTGGAGGAGACATGGCCATAGAGCAAACACCAGCAAGGCACAGCTGAGCATTGCAAAAGTGTGTAAGGCCCCAGGCAACCTGGAGGCCAAACACACCGAGGCAAACAGAGCTGCATTTAAAGACAAACTACCAGGGGGTGAAGGTTGGGTGTATGGGAAGAAAATTAGGTGAGCCAGCAACATCACAGCAGACATGGCATACACAGTGTCTGTACTGACAGACTCGGTCAGTGTCTTTAGAACCGGCGAGAAGCCGTAAGTAAATGATAGAAAAATGGCAGCACTCTGTAGATCAGCCAGCCGTGTACGAGGTTCATCACCTGAATCCACAGTAGATGCCAACACTTGGTGCAGTCCATAACCCAGCATGGCACAGACAAGACTGGTCAACAACAGTACCTCAGGAGAGAGCAAACCCTGATGGGAAAAAAATGTATTATTGTAGTTAAAAATCAAGGTGTGCTACAAAGTACTGTAAAATGAATTCACCTGCTCCATGTAGAGCCAGACTGTGATAAAAATGGCCACACAGGATAATTGCTGCCCCACAGAGCCAGCCTCCTTCACCACAGCCCAGTAATGGTATTGTCGGAGACCCTCGTTCCTCCGTAGCTCCTCAAGGAACCGACCGTCTACGTAGTTGTCGGGAAATGGCTGACGCTCCCACAGCACTTTCCTCCAGGGCACAGGTGGATCTGGGGCACTGTCTGGCCCCATCTCCCTTAGCACGCACAAAACACTCTTTGTGTCCTCTTGGTACTGAAATAGTTAAACATCTGTAATAACAAAAGGAATGAGATTGAAGGGCACAATGAGAGATATGGTTGGATTTTACTCATCACTTGCACCAGTGCTTGTTTGTATCGCAGAAGGTCCCGGAACGTATATCTTTCTAACACCTGAATATCACGCAGGTCACGTAGTGATATGACTTCTTGTTTAATAGCAGTCACTAACAGGCATCCTGCCAGTTACTTTACTACAGTGTGTAGTCTTAGTGACTCTTTGAGATAACAGAGCCCGCTACTTATGATCCAATGCATCATCATGCATTTGAATCGATTTTTAATTGATTTATGATGCATCCCTAATCAACTCTTGGTTGATCAAGGCTGTAGGTTAACAAATGTATTATTATTAATATTTCTTATTTACTGTATATATGCATATGCCGTATAATGTTATATCTTCTGATGTATTGTTGAATATAGTATACTTTTCTATATCTTGTCCACATATTTCAATATATAAACATTTATACGTATTATGAATATCTCCTTGTTAAAGTGTTTCTTTTGGTGTAAATGTATGCATGAATTAAAACAGTGTATTTTTGTTAATCTTTTGCTACACAAGTTCACTAAAATCGTCTTTGACTTGACTATTCAAAACACGTTTTTCTTTCCTGTTAAACCAGTAATTTACGTGAGTCTGACGTAATATCCGAAACTTCCAATTCTTTGAAATGTGAAAAGTGAGTTTTGTTGTGGTCAGGTTAGGACTATGTCTCGGCAGTGGGTTGACAGTCAGCGAATTGTAAACAACATAGTAATAATATCATTGAGCTAACACTACCGGCTTTGACGCTTCAATAAAAACTACACCTCGACAGTAAAGCGGAGAAACTAACACATATGTGCTCGGAATAGACGTAGAATACACGAGTCTCCACAGTTGTTAAATTGAAAGCTTTATCTTACCTGTGTGACCATAGTTTACGCTGGGGTGTTCTCCCGGAAGTGATGTCCCCTGACGTGGCCGTCATCAGGTTAAACTTCTTCTTGATGGAGTTGTGCAAACCAATCGGAGTAATGGAATACTTCTGCCCCCTTCAGTCTGATCTTCACAATTACAATTGCAAAAAAAAAAAAAAAAAAAAAAAAAAAATCAAGCCGACTATAACTGCTTCCCTTTCTTCATATCTTTTGTGCAATGTCGACGATTTTCCTACAGCTACTGCGGACGTTATTTAACTCTTCAACTTCTAATCTTTGTAAATTTGTTTCCACATGTATTCAGCATTGCTCCTACCTAACGTCATTCAACTCTAAGGAGAACCCTATAGAAAGTCTTGGCGGTAAAAAGAGCAGGGTTGATGATGGAAGACCTGATTTCTCAAGAAGCTTGTGAGGTTATCTAAAGAAGAATGGGCTAGGAAAGAATCTGTTTTCTGAAACGTAACCCAATTATAGCGTGTTGTGTCCAGCTGCAAGCTTCTTCATGAAGGCACAACTATCCTTAATACCACGTTACCACCCTACAGTAACTTTCAATGGTAGACCATCCCTTTATTAAGATAATTCTTGCAACATTTAAACCTTTCAATAGTTTTATGACTTTGGGTGACTCAACTGTTTCTTATCTTACGAGAAATTACTTTACATTTTTCACTTTCATAAGTATTTTTAACTTGCAGTTCTGCAGTGGTTATTGTTATAAAAGTTGTTCTGCAAATAATTGTACCCCTAATTTTAACTGACTGTCAGAAATCAACAAATATGAATTGTGTTCTAAAACAAAAAAGGTAAATATAATGATGAAATATTAGGTAATAGTAGGTGCTTGGCATTTTGTGATTAATATAATTAAATGTTTTTAAAATAAAATCTTTAAATCTCTTTCAAAATTCAACAAAACTTTGTGTTGTTGTCCATGTTTGAACAACCCCGTATTTTCCATACACATGCATCTGTAATTACATATTGCCTTTCTGCACAGAATACTGTTGTCTCAACAAAAAACATCACAGACAATAAAAAAATTAAGATAGTTTAATTTATACAAATTTACAACTACAGGTAAATATGGAGTATATACCATATAACATCGCATTCCCTCTTTCCAGCCACACCATTAGTGTAGTAAAATATTCTTACACAGTCAAAATGGCTGCTTTATGAGACATGCAAGTCTCCTCAGTAACATACAAATATTCTGAAAATGTGGTAGACTTTTATTTTTTTGTACATTAGGCTTAAAAATTATTCCAAAAGTGTATCAACCCCTCCCGTGACTCATATCTATTAAAAAATCATCCCGGTCTCAACAAACAACTCTTCACTTAGGCACTGGACACAAGGTCATTTAGAGTGTCTTACAAATAAAGGGTTATTAGGCAGTGAAAACATGAGACTCAGTAACACATTGTATCATTGCATATTTGTCCACAACATAGTGTGACATGAACATTGATGGTGTGATAAAGCAGAAAAAATAGATCAAAGAGGGTTTAAATAGTAGTTTTACTTTATCTTAACATTTGGCAGTCACTGTATAGGCCCCGTCTCAACAGCACTGGAGAAAATTTAGAAGATGGCACCTTAACACCTTTTAAACAAAAGTGTGGACAAAGTTTCACTTGCGAAGATCAGTAAATAAGAGTTAAATAAATGGCTAATAAGAAATCAACCCACTTTACCTGCAGACACAAGATATTAAACATTATGGTATTACCAAACTCTTCAACACTGTGGTTGAGGTATTGACCTCGCAGGTGCCAGAGAGTTAGAAATAGATTTGTCACCACACAGATAGACAGACTCAACATCTTTACAGTTGGCTGTAAGAAGACACCCCCTCATGTCAACTCACAGAGTTGACAGCCAAGTAGGCTGCTAAGCTACAAGTCCTAGCAAAGAGCTGGAGGATCTGGAGATGGTCCAGTTGTGTTGCTTCTAGTCTGTGATCCAATGCCAAAGAGCAGTATTTACTAAATGAGCCAACTGGTCTTTCAGTGTTGTCATACAAGAGAAATTGTAAGTTGATGATGCCATAAATGATGACATTATAAATGTTTATAATTAAAGAAATACATGAGACCTCACATGCTGACAATAGATTGGCATATAGGTAAAAATAAGGAATCTTATGAAATAGAGGGATAATTTTATGAATTTATGGAAATCAAAATATTAATGGGGTTGCATATTTTCCAAATTTGGCAAGAAATAAAAAGGAAACTAATTGTTGGTTTTGCAAGACAAAGTAAATCCATAAACCTGCCAATGCACCTTTACAGACAGGTAATGAAAAGAGGTTAATAGTGATGACAAACAACATTTAATCAAGATCAAACATTTCCTTGTAGTTGAAGAGTCTAGGACACTTATGTTCCTTCTCCAAAACTGCTCCATAAATTCCAGTGTACTGAAGACCAGATTCCCAGTTGAGTTGAAGTTATTATTATAATATCACGACAAAATATCCAAAGGTATCTGTGGGGAAAATGCATTTCCTATCCTTTCACTTTTGGAAGGTGTTATGTGCGAATTTTCCTTTTATCTTCAAACAGTGAGCGGACTACATAAACCTGCACTGCCGATACCACCATCATGACAAAAAGGTTTACCACGGACCAAAGGTTAACCCTGTCAAAGTTGCTCTCCTGTAGGTTCCTGTCCCGAGCCTCAAATGCCTTGAGTACTGTCTGGATCTGTACACTTTTTCCCAGTCGAGCCTTGACACTGTTGATGGTGTCCTGGCGGAGGAGGAGCACAGATTTATTCCAGTGAAACTAGACATAATTGACTCTTTAAAAATCTTACTTTTGGTAGTTAGTTTGTTTCTCTTGAGAAAATCTATTTGTATCATGCTGGGGGAGGATCCTGTTCCTGTTTGCCTTAGTGACTTTTGACACACATTAGCCTCTTTTCTAGTGAGGCTGACAGTGCAGGCTTAAACAATTGGCTGTACGTAAGGGTTCAGAACAATGTCTACTCCTACAACAACAACTGAGCCTTACTTGTCTGAAGGGATCAACAAAGTTCTGTCTGTTTATCTTATTGCCCCATTGCTTTTATGTTGCCTGTGTGTTTGCTAGGTCACTCTGCACTGGCAGTGACACAAGAGAGGGAGAAAGTCAAAAATCTTAAAAAGAAATTCAACAAGTAACTGTTGCTCACCATAATGTCTTCTAGCTTCATATCCACCATGTCAGTTCCATGAACATATTCTTTCCAGTCATCAGGATCTTCATCTGTATCCATGTTGTCCAGGATCAATTCAAAAAAGATGATCTTCTCAGACACTGCACTGAATGTGTTGTCAAAGCAGAACATGTAGTCTCCATCTTCAGTTTCAACACTGTAGGGAACCACTTACTGTTAGAGGTGCAAAGTTATTTTGATATATAGTTCATATACAGTACCTGAGTTTTAGACAATAATGGCAGAACTAAACAGTAAAAGCAGGTCAGAACATATTTCATATTTAAATAACGTCTTCATTCATAATCATAATCAGCATTAGTAGATATTAGTTTATACCACAAACAACCACATTCTGGGAATCTGAGCACTGATCCAAACATTGTGTTTATGAAACAATAGTTTACTTACGTGTGCACTCCATCTGATTTACGGTAATCGCTGAACAGGACGTGTCCAGTGGGAGAGGAGATGTAGAAATCCACATCCAGGCCGGCACCATCTAAAACCTAAAACAGCAAAACAAAGGTTAATTACATGAGATTCACAAACATCTTGTGAAGCTGTCTCTTTTCATTTTTGGATTTGTGGAACATAGCTGTTTTGTCTAGGTTTAGTGTGGAGCTGAGGAGTAATCGAAATAGCCTAATGACATGTTTCGAAGTTCTGTAATGTTATGTCAAAGCTGAGGCTACGTCATTGGACTAGGAAGCGGTATTAGTCTATTCAGCAGTATTTGTTTGTTTTTTGCTAGTAGTACATATAGAATTTCAGTTTCATATAGAGTGTTTGACCTGATATTCAATCTCCAGCGAGGCATCTTTCTTCATTGTCTGGTAGAAACACTCTTTCCGGCCGGCGGGTAGAGTGAAGGTAAAGTCGCTGTCCACAGACTGAGAGAATGAAGCCAGCGCCACAAACCTTTCCGAGACCAATGCAACCAACACGGACAAAACACACATAAGCGCCCTAGATAGCTCCATAATTTAGTAGGCCAGTCAAAGAGTGCTAAACGGCGTGAGAGTAACCAGCCACCGCGCTGGTAATGGGGCAACGGCAAAGACAGTGTCCGTCAAAACTTTGGTTCAGTTAAGATTTTCTAGCTGCTTCCTGTCATGAACCCCACGGTTCTTGCCCAGTACTCGTGCCGAAGGTTCAGGACCCCGCCACTACAAATTATAACCAAACTTAAACTGTATGTCTTGAACAACAAAACAATAATTTATTATTTTTAAATTGTTTATTTATCTTATATGTTTTAATCCATGTTATACCTGGGAACTGGTTACAATTATAAACGGTACAGGCACGTTTTGCAGCGCCCGTCTCGAACTGCATCTAGGAAATGTAGTTTTTCTGACTGCGTGAGGAAAACACGTGGATATTGTAATTAATTTCATGTGATATCATTACCAACGGTGTAGTTACTTGTTGTCCAGAGAATAATAACAAATAAAAAACAAATACATTATGTACGTAATCACATTAATCGTTAAATTAATATTACAAATGGAGTCAGTCCAAATAAGTTAAATCAGTACCAAAAACGAAGAAACCAAACCAAAACGAAGATATGGAATGTATCAAGATATTTTCTGAACTTCAATAAAGAACACGAACTTCAAAACAAATGACAGTAAATATTACTTTAGTTCCGTTGAAGTATAAATATCATTTTCTAAGTATAATATACATAACTTTTAAACAATGAACATATTTAAAATAGTGAAAGAAAACGCGACATGAAAAACTAAAATACGAAATGGTTGACTTCAGTGTACAAACACATCGACTAAGTAAGAAACGTCACACGAGAGAAGGCGAAAATGTCTTCATATATTTAATTTTCAAAAAAAGAACACGATGTTCACTTTCCCTAAAGAACATGTCTACAGAATGTGATTAGGGCTTGTACACGACTATTTTTTCTAAGGTTTACGGCCACAAATATTAGCATTTCTCCTATATTGCAACACTTTGACATAGAAACTGTTGTGTAACAGCCCTGTATGTGTCATTCTTTATTTTGCTTATCAATAAAGGTGACGCGTCCTGCTGCTCCACATCCACATCCTCAGTCCAGAGGGCTGGCCTTATCAGTTACGGTTCTGTTATGTCTTATCTGATTGGTCAAAATTAACCAAGCTTTGATGTAATTGGCCTGACGCAAGGCAAGGGTTGAGCTTACCAACAGCCAGCTAGCCGTCATCAGCAGTTGGCAGTTAAAGCTGAAAAGGAGGTGGAGAAGTTCCACACAATGAAAATTAGCGCACCTCCTCTAAGTGTAGGTCATATATATAGAAAATTAACGTGTCTGTAATTTTGACATTAGCGTAGACATCAGGCTTTTTTCGGTGTACTGTGTAGCAGTGAGAGATCAGAAAAGCCTCCCAAAGAGCGAGGATGTTGGTCCCCGCGGGAAGATAATGAAGAGGCTGCGCGTTTTGTTGCTGTGCCTCGTTGTAGCTCTTCTGTGCTGGTAAGCTATTCAGTGTCTCTGTTTATTTACATAACTACGACATTTAGGAATAATGACAGTTGTAACAAAGGCAGACCAAAGTACCAAGAGGAGCACACGACCAGTCACGCCGCTCCGCCTGAGGTCTTCTAGCTAAATATCTGTCCCTCCTGTGTTAATCCTTTTTGCTACAGAGCTAATGTCAGCTCCCTCCAGCGTCATCTGATGTAGACTTGACCGCATCACATATCCTAAAGACGTATTTTCCCCGTAACTTGTGATTAATGACAAAAAACTATAGTTTAACTGTATGCACTGTTGTATACAGTTAAACTACATTTATCAACATAGCTCTCAAACCCTGACTGTTAAAACAAGATTTTGATGGATTTTTACCAATTTCTACGTGTAATTTTATTAATTATTACAATCTAATTTCCAAAATAGTCAACGTGAGATATACTATTGTATTTCGATGTCATCCTGCACTTTAAAAAATAATTAACGGCAGTTAAGTAAACGTATAAGACACCATTTCTACTGTTGAAAACGATGGAGAAATTTATTTTTTGTTCTTGAAAAAATAAAATAAATCAGCACGATGTAAAATGTTCAACATCAGCATCTGCGAAATAGGGGATGTTGTATATAATATAGTAATTGAATATATATAGTGCAACAATTCTATATAGAGTTTTAGTTTCAAAAGCAGTTTTAAAGTAGGCAACTGGACTTGCCAACTTACTCGCCTAAACTGCTTTTGAGATTATTATGATGACTTGGATAACTGAGAATATCCACAAATATATAGTTTTAGTTAATTTTTAAGGACTTGTTGTCTTTATAAAAATCAATTAGTTATTTGATCCTCAAAATCTTGGGAAAATATCATTGTGTGTTAATTCTTGAAATAATGTCATCAGAAAGTCAATCATTAGAAATACTCGTCAATTAATCATCTAAATCTTCTAGTTTTTTTTCAGTGTTTTTAATTGCACACAAACAAAATTATCTAAATACTATATATGACATTTGCCTGATTACACAATCACTTTTTTAATCTTCAAAGTGGCGAGCAAGAAAAATCCACATTGTTTTAATGATTGAAGTACAGGATTGCTGTGTTTCACAAAAATAGCAAAGAATAAAAGTATGTAATAACTTTCAACATTCTGATGATTATTTATTGACTGTGCTAACACATGCATATACTTCAATACTAATGTGAACCTCTTTTAACGTGCTACTGTTGAGTTCTCACTCCTCTGTGCCAACTCTCACACGTCCCAATGGGAAAAGAATAATTTGGATTGCAGTCGTTGCAGTAATCTAAGGTTTCCAAGGCAGCAGTGAGGGACAGAAAATACTGGTAACAATTAAGATTAGAACTGTCCGTAGGGTTATGGTGCATGAACACATCTTTTAAAATCTCCTTAAAATCAGGAGATTTCAGATTCAGCCACCTTGGTTTTATTTTTTTAATCCTGTAGATGTGTTTATCATGCAACTGTGTTTTACTGAGAGAGTGTGTGTTTCACCTTTACTTGTGCAGTCAGCAACAGGGATCTAATGTGTTTATAGTAAAGTAGGTCATTCTGGAAATGTGTGAATGTGTGTTTCACATACGTGTCTTTGTATCTTTGCACATTTTGTAATAATTCACATTTTCTGCAATTTTACAGACAGATGGAGATATTATTTTTATTATGAAAAGTTGGCTTTTTTCTCAAATTTTGTTAGTTGGCATGACTGATACAGATGCAATGTAAACAGGTTTTTATATTTTTGCTGCACTTGACAGGGAGTCTTGTTTCCTTTCACACTGTGCCTTTGACGTAGCCCCTTGAAGCAACATGACCTGACTTAGCACCTAAATTACAAACTGTTCAGGTGCAATCGAGGTTTAATCCTAGACTTGCAGGATAATAGCTTACTTGGGAACTATTGATTCATTATCAGCAGTTGAAATTTCATGTTTTGTTGGTCTTCAGAAACCTGTGTCACAGTGGGCTATCAGACAGCCTGGTGACTCTGTTTGTCACAAAATATCATCCCATGTCAATTTTCCTCCAAAAGTATGGAGAATGTTTGTGTATGAGATACTTGTAGGCAGAAGGGCTGAAGTTTGTAAAGGTCTTATTTGCAAAACGTCAGGGCTGGAGGCCGTATGTAGAAAAATTGTTGTTTTTAATGAGAAAACAGACACATGGTGTCCCTAATGCAAATAGTTTTGGATACCACAAGTATCTGCTTGTGCAGAGGAATCGCAGCAATGACAGCCTTTTTTTTGTTCAAAACGTTTGTAAAGTAAATACACTGCCATTGGGAAAAAAACATTTCAAAATCTGGTTAACACCCCTCTTGTCACTGTGTTAGTGTTTTTTATTTTGATGGGAAAAGAGGCCGAGCCAATTATCCCTGTAGTCATTAAAAACCGCAAAGTGAATAAATTGTGGGAATCTAGTACACTCCCCTGATCACTTTTGATAATGCACATGCATCAGTTGTTCCCAGGAGCATTATACAAACATGATGGCACTAGTCTCAAAGTAAATTATGATTAACGTTAATGCAGATGATTGTCGCTTTTGAAATATTTATTAAATGTCATATTTAAAACAACGTGTAATGCATGTATCTGTGGGAGACATGAATAACCGACAAAAACAAGTTGATGCAGATTCCCTCGGAAGTAATGCCTCACTCTGTTTACGTGACAAATTTTTGGGACTACATTGGTGCTAATGGAACTGTCATAGCTATTAAAACCATTTCACTGACCACAATAAAATGGTCACTTTGCTATATAGTTTCTCCTCTATTACGTATTGTGTGAGTGATGATGAAAAGTGAATCTCTTATTCAAAGAACTGTACTCAGCCAAAGGGTAGGTTTGGCTTCTTGGTTACTACTGTTACATAACCTTGAACTCCTCCTGTGAGTACCAAAGATGTTTGTCGGCACCTTTGGTGGACACTGAAAGCTAAATGACAGTGGAACAAAGAAAGCTCTGTTTTGACTTTGGCGTTTTCAGATTTGGAAGGTGAGGGGTTCAGAACATCAAGGTGTAAACAGAAAAAAAGTAACAAAACCTGCCTTGAAAGTTTCTACCTACTGTGAAATACAGCATGCAGAGTATGTGCATGTGCTTGGCATTGTGACACAGCACACAAGGAAATGTGACCTCTGCTTTTAACCCATCACTTAAGATCCTGGGGAGCAGTATGTGGGGACAGTACCATGCTCAGAGCACCTCAGTGGTAACTTTTTTTTTTTAACAGTCCGTCACTATCGTATGTCTATCATGTACATAGATACGAAGGAAGAGATACAGTATAATGTACTGTACATTGTGCTAAAGTGTAATAAGAGCTTTGTACTAGAAAACCACCCTTATCTTGGTGTTATCCTGCTGGTCATACCCACTATAGCATATTTATGTAAGCTTTACCATGATAGCAGACATTACAGATCTTTACAAGGTCTGCCCAGTAGCTCAGTGTTTAGAGCTTTGGTGTTAAATGGGCACACATGACTTCATTACCACATCTTAACCCCAATCTTTTACTCTAAATTGTTTGGGAAAAAAATAAGGACAGGTTTGACAACAGGTGTCTCAAAGATTCCAGTAGGTTCATTAACAACAACATATGTATGTAAGAGGAGTAAAAATCAGGCCTGCACTATTTAAGCAAAATGTGCAAAGTGCAATGCCACTCTTCAATAATGCGATGACAATATAACTGTCGAGAAATAAGAATATACATTTTTAAATTTAAGTTTAATTTCTCTGCTCTCAACAAAAATAAACAATATCTCTTAGAATAAAAGAATATCAAAGGGGCAGAGTTTTAATAAGTAACATGAACAAATTAATAACAAAAGAATACAGATCTGAGAGACACGTCTACTTGCAAATTCTCAGTGGGAAGGACATAAACTGCTTGAATATGAGGCATCCAGCTCCCTCCAACAGTCCTTCAGAGGTGTAAAACATTTGAGGCATTTTTAAGGCATTTGAGGATCTTGACATTGACATATATAAAGGTTCCAAGCAACTATCAGTAGAATTGTTGTACATTGTTAAACCACTAACTTGAAAATGTAGCCACAAATTTTCTTAGCTGTGTTTCCAGAATCCCAGTTTGTGAGAGTCCATCTTTATGTAGTAGAGGGCAACTGAGGGCCTTACAGTCTGAGAGCTCTGGGTTTATGTGTGCTGGCACTCCAAACTTTGCTATTGTTCGTGTCCACTGGCCATAGAGACCAATCACTTCCCTCAGCACTCTTTCATGGGCTGACTTTGCCATATCCTAGCAACAGGACTCTTTAAATATATACTAGGATCATTAACTTAAAAACTCATTGCTATTGTCAAATTGTCATTTTTAAGGAAAAACAAATGTAGGACATTGTTAAAATACCTAATAGATGACAGTACATTTTAATATTTTATCATGAATATTTTATTCAGAAACAAAGTATATTTAGTTTACTGTTTTAAAAATGTAAATATAAATATGTAATGGCATTAGATTAAATGGAATGCACCTAATAGTTGGAATGGAGTTTGTTTTCAGTGGAACTATTCTAGAAACAGGTAAATATTTGGTTCAAACCAAATCCTTGGATTCCATATGTAGATCTCTAAGTCGTGCTGTATAAGTTAACAACAAAGTTTAGGGCCAATGCTGAATTGTAGTCATCAATTATTTTAAATCCACATAACAAGAAACATTTGTAGGTTGTTTTTTTTTTAAAGCGAAGTCCTCTTTGTCTAGTTGGATGACTTTGGGGTTGTAGTTGATTTTTTTTGAATGGAGACAGTTTACGTTGTTGGTTTTATTCCTGAGGAGATCATTTCTACACAAAGACATGTACAGTATTAAAAGCAATCATGTCCTGTATCCTGCACCCAGTCCTCTTCACACACCACTGTGAGATGTTATTATGGTGTTGGTCGTTAACAGTGTCCCTATAAATAGCCAGTCATTTTTGTTTTTTCTACCATAATTCATGAC